ACCTTATGTAGACCCAACAAAAAACTAAAGATATAGTGTCTATGAGTATCTAACAATCAATACAATACAAAATCAGTTTTATATTTGTTATACAAGTGTTGAGTTGGGTTTATTTTGTGTATGATAACTCTAATGTGGCAAAATTATTTTAATATTTTCAAAATGGGTGAAAACCATTTTTATCCAAAAATAAGTATTCTTCACTCTGACAATGAAACTAAATTTTTTAATACTTGGTATTTTTAAACTAAAAAGGAATTCTGCATCAATCTATATATCAAAACACCCTTCAATAGAATGGTTTCTTCGAAAGAAAGAGTAGACATTTACTTGAACTTGTTCAATGTATCATATTTGCTATGCATGTTCCTAGATATTTGTGAGGTGTCTTAATTGCATCATATTTAATACATAAAATGCCTACTGTGTTCTGATTTTCCTGACACTTTTAGACAGCTTCAAATCTCTGTATCCAACTTTAGAACGTTGCTAACTGGCCTAAAATAAAATATTTGATTATACTTTGTTAATGAACACAATAATTCTAGGTCTAAACTTAATCCCTGTGGTGAAAAATGTGTTTTCATTGGTTATATTTTTAATCAAAAAGGATATAACAGTTTTAGCTCTACAAGAGAATAAACTCTATGGCAGTATCAGTATGTATGTTACCCTTTTGGAGAACCTTTATTTCATGAAAATTCTCTTCCAGGGGAGATAAAGACTAATGAAGTTTCTTTTCTGCGTGAGTCTTTACCTTATCCTATCTTGTATTCTATTTATCCAGTTGAAACAATTGCTCAAGATATTGAAAATGATAAAGGAGTGCCAATATTAGATAATTATCAGACAGTGGGAGTAAAAACACAGTCAAATAAGGAGCTGCTTGTTTATACTCGAAGGAATTTACAACAGAAGAAAGTTCAGCCTATCATTCTGACACTGGAACAAAAAGATTCCCTAGAAACCTCTCCTGAAAATGTTCCAGGTAATCCTAAGCACCCTTATTCTAATTCAAATTATAATACCCCTATAGTCTTTGCCCTTTAGGAGAACTTGCAGCAGAAATCACCCTATTTCTTGGTTCATCTCCTATCTTGGACACAATTTCAAACATAAAGCTTTCCCTTCTAAAATTATCGTTCTGTTTGTTTAAAGAAACATTGAAGAAGCTCTAGATAATCCAAATTAAAATTTAGTAGTTATGGAAAAAATGAACGCTCTTAAAAGGAATGAGACTTGTGACATTGTTTATTTCCCAAATGGCAAAAGGGTTTACTCAAACCTATGGAGTTGATTGAAGTATAGGCAAGATTAGTGCCATAAGGGTTTACTCAAACCTAAGAAGTTGATTGTCAAGAAACTTTTGTTAGTGTTTAAAATTAACTCTGTTGTCCCTTGCATTAAATTTCAATTGTCCTTAGAATTTAGGCTTAGGACTTACCTCAACCCCCACAAAATTAGCTTGTGAGGCAAGAATTCCCCAAGCTTCATAAGTGTAGGAGAATATTATTTCTCTCTTTTTTAGTTTTTATAATATTGTCTATAACAATTTTATTTCAGTTGTATTTTCTTTCTTAGTTTGTTGTAACTGACCTACAGTTAGTTACAACTTACAACTAAGTTGGGAAATAGGCCTATGTACAATATTTCATTAGTTTTTCAAATTTAGCCATCAATAACATCATATTTACTCTCTCTCTCTCTTCCAATATGGTATCAAGAGCGAAAGAATCCTAGGATTTTTATTTCTCATGATTCTGAATTCTTCTACACCACCACTGTCCCTGCCACACTCCATCATCATTCCTCCTTTCACTCCACTCACTTTCTTGCATTCTCAGTACTGATCAGATACAGATAGGCAATGGGCAAGGCTTAAGTATCAAAACATCTGGTTCCACTATTTTTTCTTCACCATTGTGTCCTAATGTTCCTTTCATTCTCAAAAATTTACTTCATGTTCCTCAAATCACTAAAAATTTACTTAGTGTAAGTAGATTTGTCGAGGATAATTCTGTATATTCGGAGTTTCATCCAGATATTTGTCTTGTCAAATCTCAGGCCAATCATAAAGTGCTGTTGTGTGGCCGAGTTTGAGCTGATGGCTTCTATGAATTTCCAAATTTACTCAATCAATCTCTATATTCTAACTGTACTAGTGTTCCTGCAATGAACACTATTTCATTTTCAGATGTAAATGCCTCGAAAAGTGATGTTTCCTTTTTAATTTGACATAACAATTTAGGACATCCTAGTTGAAGTGGGACTGAACACCACCCTCGAGGCTGCATTTAGGCCAATCCCCATTGCTTCTAGTAAAGATACCACGTTTCTATCAATTGGTATAACAGCTCCGATATTTGGAGCTGATCCAAATGGAGAAGTAATTTCTTGAAGAATCCCAGAAAGAATGCATAGAGATATCAACATTTGAAGGAGAAGCCTAATGATGGCAGATCAACACAATGTGTCATTGCAGCATTTTGAGATGCCGGGAGCACTTGAGGAAAAAAAGACACAAAGGGCTGTGAAGTCTCTGCTCTGCAGGGACATGCTTTCATGTGGTAGTTCATGTGGAAGGGGAACAATCCCAATGCATCATGATGAGACTTCATGAAGGATTTACTCAAGCAATTCCAACCAGAATTTGCTCAGATATCCTAACCTATGTTCAAAATGAGGAAGCAGAGAATTTAAACTTAATTTTAAGTTTTTCTGTTTTAAACAACCAAAACCATGTTTTACTTGTACGAAGGTCACTTAGATTAATTAGAATTTAATGTGTATTTTGTGGATCTTTTATTATTACATTCCTATTTTATTTGGTGCATTTTGTATGCCTTTAAAAGGTGACTTTTGCTTGCTTTTATTAAGCCAGGAACAATTTATGTAGACAAAGTATTTGTGAAATATGACTATGCACTTTGTTAATTTTCATGGCTTAGGTCCAAAATCTCCAGTAAAGGAAAACCAAGATGGTACGGCCTTTCCTGATGCTTCTGTGGAGCAATTGTCTGTCAACACTGCTTCCCAAGATAAAGCCACTTCTCAAATAAAGCTGCCTCAATCTACCTCAAAAGCAAGGCAAAATGATCCCGAGGCTACACTCTTTGAAGAATTTAGCAATACGGCGAAGTATGGCTTGTTTCAAACAAGGATCACTGAATCTGGTTCTGTTATGATAAATGGCAGAAATCTGAGTGCTGCTGGGCATGTTAAACAAACAATGATGAAAAAGCAAAGCATTTCATTTGCAAGTGTCAGTGGCAAACAGGATACAAGTATCTCAGCTATTCCAGTGGAAGAACAGGAATCTAGCATTTCAACTAAAAATGTCATTGTGTTAAGTGACGATGATGAACCGGCCAATGTTGCAGACATTGTGGTCGGAAGAAAGGCGGTGGAGAATCCTGACATTTCTGTTTGGCATTTTGTTGGTCCTTTTGGTAAAAAGGAGGACCCTATTCAATGTATGCACTCAAACGTTGGAGTGAAAGTGCCTCATATCCCTTAGAATTCAAGGTCTGGAAGAAAGGTCAGAGTGAAACAGAGGCAATACCTCTCGCGGATGCGCTGAACCAATTTTTCTGAAGCGTGTAGGGGAATGGAGGGAAATCACTTAATTTTAAGTACATCAACATTGTAAATATAGTATTAAATACAGCGTGGAGTGCTTGCAAGTTAAAAGTACTTTATATGATTTTGTTTTCTTTTGGTTGTAGATTTCACCAATACAATTACAAATCGAAGTTTTTTATGCCTTGTGCCTCTAACATGATTTTTTCCTCTCGTTCCTTCTGTGATAGAATTTGAGCACAGAATAGGAGCTCAACTCAGTGAAGCTTTTAAAGTTTCGAATTTTCTTATCGAATCCCAACTTTTATTCTTTGTGCCTTATGTCTCGCAACACAACTTTTGATTAAAGTTCTTAACAAGAAGGGATACGTGAAAGCACAATCCGTTTTTTTTTTGTTCAGCAATTTTTTTACATTCAACTTATATCCTCGTTTATATTAAAATAAATATTCATTTCATTTTAATGGATTTAGATACTGTAAGTTGCTTTAAAAAGTTCCCTATATTGATTCATTTGTATTTTGTTCATTTTTTCAGTGACTATACATTAGCCAGACTTATTTATGGATGTGTCTAAGCTAGTTACAGCACGAAAGAAATTAAAATGTTATAATGCTCAACTATGTTTTATTCAGGACTATGTGAATGATAGCTAGCACATTTATTGTAAAGAAATCAGATTTACACTGGCTAGCATCATTGTTGGTGTTCAGGAAAGAAAGATCACCCATGCAAGCCAAACATATTTAAAGTACATATAAAATGGCGCGAGTGTACATTTTTTTATACTCCTTTTTGGTTGTGACCTAAATCAAAGAAATAAACTACAATCTAAAAAATCTAAGGAACATGTACCCAATACTGTAGACTGTAGAAAGGTAAAAAAAAAAAAAAAAAAAAGAGGACCTTTGAAAACAAAGTTACACCAAGTGCCGGTGTGTCCTTAGAAAAAGAAAGCATGGTTCTGATGTAGAGGAGGCTTCGCCACACAAGTAAATAGATAGAGCTATATATACACATTAAGGGTAACAGTGAATAGTAGCAGCCATCATGATTCCAAAATTGATTTGTCTTTTTGATAAGATCTCTGATGGCAAGTAATCTTCAAGCTCAGTTGTCATACATACCATGTGCATCATGCAAAGATTGGTATTGAAACATGCTAACTCATTATCTGAAATGGAATTTGTACAAGTTGTGCTCATGGTTGAAGTTACAGCAGAAAGGTGGATGCTGAGAAGCGATATATTTTTTATATGTAGGTATTTTATATTTCCTGATTCCAAGTTTAAATCCCAACTAATTTCTGCTTTCAGAATTATGCTCTCATCATCTATAAAATAACGAGTCACTAAGTCAGTGAGCAGCATACACATTGATTCATCAAATCATTAAGCGAGCAGCATAAAGACAGAGAGCACTGAAGGCAAGAGCATCAGATACACTTCAAACAACATTCATATATATAATATCCCTCTTTTTAAGGCAGCAAAAAGAATTTCTTATCGAGCACTTGTATAAAATTATGGATTTCATTGTACTTTGCAGAACAATTTAGCATTTTCATATTTCTAAAAATTCTTCTATGGACTGCTGCTTGCAGCATTTTCTTTCCTCAAAGCTCGCAACTGTTCCTTTATCTTTTTGCTCTCTTCAAAGTTAGCCTTCCGCTTCACAGCTTTCTGTTGCAAACAAAACAAAGAGACCCTTAAAACAAATAAGAAAAGAAAGAAATAAAAAAAAAAAGGAAAGAAAAAAAAAACTCACCTCTTCTCTGAAACAGCGGTCCAATTTTATTTTCAAATCAGTACATTCACCAAAGAATTTTGCAATAGGGTGTTCTATATGACACTTTTGAAACTGCTCAATAATCTGCATAAAAGCACAGTATAAATTAAAGAGAGCTATAATATAGACTACTTCACGTTTGCAAGACCAATTATGATAACTTTCAAGACCAAAGGAAAAATTAGTGATCTGAAATCCTAAATTTGAGACGTGATTCCTAAGTTTACTGTGGACTGGGAAGGTAAGGAAAAAAAAAAAAACCTGAAACTCTTTGTAATCAAAGCTCCATTCCGTTTTTCCAACATAAGGCTCCATACAAATTTACATAGCCCAGACTCTTTAATTTATAGGAATAGGACCAACTATCCCATGACCATAGACATCAAATTCATAAATAAATAAAAAAATGCTAGTTACACTCTCTAACATTCTGTTTCTAACACTCTTTATCATTGGTCTGAAAATCACAAATTTTGTGGATCTCCCGTTTCATTTAAGAGTCTCTTGATTTAGTGGTAAGAACTATAAAAGTTTGTGATTTTCAACCAGTAATAAAAAGAGTGTACTAGAAAGATATTGTTAGAGTGAGTTTTGCTAACATTCTTCAATTAATAATAGGCAACAAGTAAACGAACGGCACAACACAATATCCAAAAACAATAATAATAACAGTAAATGATTTTATTTTATTTTTAAAAATAGGATGATCAAACAAACTCACTTCAGCACACATTGGATGTTTGTGCAAAGTTAAAGGAGGGTGCATCTTCTTACAACCAAATCAATCTGCAACACCTGCAGTACAACCACACAACTATTATGTTCCTTTACGGTATCAAACGAGAGCTATAAACAAAAAATTGAAGTCGACCCAGAAGATATTCATTGCAAAAGATCACAACTTTGAAACCTAGCATAGCCAAAGATCACATATAGGAAGAACTTAAGTAATGGAGTGACCAAATTGAAATCGAATTAGGAAAAAAATAAAAACAACGTAACTTTGAAATTTAGTAATTGTAAAGACTAAAAAATGAGAAGCGAAACGAAAATGAACTTACGTATCAAAATTTGAGATCGAATGCTCAAATCAGAGTTTGGAAGCGCAGTGGCGTGAAGTTTTGGAAGAACATGGAAGACAGACCAAAAATGTCAATATTTTCACATTTTGTGTTTTGATAAATGATTCATGTTTTCGGGCTTAACCCAAACTTTTTATTTTCAGCCCAAGGAGATACAGAAAATTATATATGTGGGTTTTGCTGTATCCACCGTGTATTTATTAAGCACACCCCTTCGTTTTATTTTTTTAAGTATATAATTTCACTTTAATATTTTCTTTTTCCAAATACTCTACGTTCCATCGAATCCCCTTGCCTCTGCATCTACTATTCTAAAAAGGTTGTGTTTATAAAAATTCATTTTTATTTTTACTTTCAAATAATTTTTCATTCCTTTTCATCACATATTCATAATTTAAATAAAAGAAAATATTAAGAGATAAATAAGATAATTGGCATTCTAAAAGTCATATAAAGTAGTAAAAAATAAATCAAAAATAACTACTCCTTCTATTTCTTTTTATTTGTTAAATTTTTAGTAAAATTTTGTTTTTATTTACTTATTATTTTTAAATTTTAAGGTGGCATTAATTGTTATGTTATCAATTATACTTTTCATATCACCTAACTTTTTAATTAATTTAATCATGACAACTAATATGTATTTATTGTGAAACAAAAATAAAACAAGGTATAATACAAGACATCAAAATTATTTTATGAAAAATAGGAAAGTTTATTATGTTTCTTGATTTGTGTAAAACAACCGTAAATGACTATGATAAAAAAAATAGTACTATCTAAGACAATGGTCAAAATAAAACCATACAGTTGATCTTATTGAAAAAAATATATTTAAAAAAACAACAAAAAAAAATGAGGTATAAGTCTCTCTTCTAAAATTATTATCCAACTCAACTTTATTTGTAAAATACATTTAACCTAAACACAAACAATAAAATATACTAACATTACTTCATGTTTTTGATGTGGAAATGAAGACTAGGCAACAAAATATACTACTTTTGTTTCTATTTATAAAACCCAACTTTGAACTATTGTTTACTTTTTTATATAAGACGCAATTCATATTATCTCGTATATTAATTATTTTAGACTAAAATTCCTCTAATTAAAGTGTATTTTATTAATTTAGTAAAATGCATTAATTATAAATTCTTTAAAAAAACATACACTCTAATTAATTACAAGAAGGATGAGTATTAATTAGGAAAAAGAAGTGGCATAAGTGTAGTTCTAGAAGAAGAAGAAAAAAGATAAATAGGACAAATTTATTGTTATCAACTATATTAACTAATTTTCTTAATCTTGGTGAATTGGATAATTAGGTCTTATATATAAGAACAAGGGTAGGACATAACAAGACAATTATTCATAATGTAATGCTCATATAAATTTTAATGCACATATAAATGTGGTAGCAACAAGTCTCCATTATCATATAAGAGTAGCTTAAGAATACAATATATGTAGTCAACAAAATCCTTCATTGTGAACTTTCAACACTAACACTTTCAACTAAGATGATATCTCCTAGCAACTCATTTGGGTTACTAAACCTTACAAGGGTACTTTGACTTCACGAGATTAGCATGAGCCATTGGAGATCCCCAACTAAGTATACCCCAAGGCTAGGATTTGAAGACCTTTACTGACCTCCCTAGTTAGACTTATATGATAACTCTTAAAACTCATTTTTCATGTTTATGGTTCATTGCTCATACAAATTCATAAAGTTTTATATGCAACACATGTATAACTCATAGTGTATCCTATCCTATCCTATCTTACAATAGGCCCTCTCATATCTCATGTCTCATTTCTCATATCTCATGGTTCATCATATAAAGTATAAAGGTTCAATTAAAAAATATAGTGTTAAAACACACAATAGATTTCCTTAGGATCCACATTTAGTATAAGATAATGAGGTGCCTCTTGCTAAATGTGAAAGGGTAAGAGAGCAAGGGTTTCTCTTTGGCACTCTCTCTCGCTCAACATTGAAAGAAAAGAGAACAAGGTTGTTTTATGGAACTCTCAAGCTTAGCATGCACAAACTCACTCTTAGCGTCCAAGATACTAGTACTCCTTGTGGATCTCGTGCTTAACAAGAACATGGTCCCACTTAGTGTTGAATCTTATTGTGCTTTTTGTGGCTTTCTCTTTTAAACGAGAACATAGTTTCACTTAGTGTCAACTTAAGGGTCACTCTTTGCGACTCTTATGCTTATCATAGGGACTCTTACACTTAGCGTCAAAATTCCTAATGTTCTTTGTGGCTATTGCGTTTAACGATAGTTTGGTCTTACTTAGAGTTTAATCCATACCCAAGAGTGAGATAACTCACTTGATCTCCTAACTTAGAAGAATGTTTTTATGAAGGAAAATGTGCAACAATGATTCGCTTCTCAAACATCTTTCTCCTTTTTTTTTCTGTGGTTCTAATGCATTACATGAGAGTTTCTAAGTGGCAAAATGTGATCATTAAGGAAAAACCAAATCTTAAAAATCTTAATAGCTTTAAGGATGAGTTTGGCTCACATAGACCAAAGCCTAAACTTTTGTTTTTTAGAAAACATATCACTCTTAGGACTATTGCTCCTTACACCCTTTCAATCATCTCATACACACATCATATTTTAAAAATTCTTAAATTACTTATCACAATTCATTAATTCTTAAATTACCTTTCACTCTCCCTTCACTTATAGCCTCTAAAAAACATATTTAGTTTGTGTTTATAGCTCTTCAGAATAGGTATTTCAAACTATTAAATATGCACTTAACCTAAATCATTGCTTTTCCGAACAACCAATCTAGATCATTACTTTTTCGAAACTACTTATTCGGAATGGTGTTGATCCAAGCAATGTTAATCCATAATGAGTCTTTGAAAAAAAAACATTGTTTAGATTAAGTGTTTTGGATAAACATTTTTTTGAAATGGGAGGTTCCAAATTGTGTGTTTTGGAAAGAATTTGTTTTTGAAACATGTGTTCTAAAATTACATAATTCCATATTAAGTGTTTCAAAATGTAACCTCCAAATTAGATTTTCTGGAAAAGACTCTCAAAGTAAAGGTAATTCAAAAGTTTATAAAAATGACAAGTACAATGCTAAAAATAGTTGAGTATATGAAGAAATTTCCCATTCTTAACTTTCTAAAACTCATTAAATTTTCACCCATTAATTACAAAATATCTTATAATCTATTATTTAATCAAAATTATTAAATTAAAATATTTAATAAGTACTATCATTATACATAATTTTGATATATCATTTTTCATCTTTATTAAAAATAATTTTATATTATAGTATAAATTATTCATAATAAAACTAAAATATAATGTATATATTCAAAAATATTTATTTATTACAAAATTTAATTATAATATAATTGTTTTGGGATAATCATGTTAATGATGTTAAATATCCATTGATATTTATTGGATTAGAAATAAGAATGACAAGTAAATTTGTATTCATGAATAATATTTAAACTTTTTCGACTTTGATGAAAAATACCTACTTTGATCGAGTATAAGTATGAATACTATATAATTTATTAAATTAGATATGGAGACAAGATTAATATAAATTTACTCATCTCATACTCGTACTCGCTTTAAATTTTTAAAAACTTAATTTTTAAAATTACTTAACATTTATATAATTTTTATTCTATTTTAAATTTATGTTAAATGAAACTTAATTAATATAATTTTATAATAATTATTTTATATTAAAATTTTTGCTTTTTATATTTTTTAAAAATATTTAATTAATTTCTTTTATAAATATGAAACGAATATAAATATGTCTAATATTTATATGAATACAAATTTCATATCTATCAAATACAAAAATAAAAATAGAGACCCGAATGTGATCCCTAACTAAATCAAATATAAAAAATTGAAAATTGTAGAAGGAGGAAAATCATATCTTACCCTTTATTCCATATTTAATGGTTAAAAAGATATTGTTTAACCCCTCTTTTCTTTCGCACCAAAAAAAATGACATCCGTGCTTAACTAAAGTAGCCAATATTCCAATATACCCAATTGCCGCTCTCAGGTACGGACTCAAATTCTACTTATTTTCTGTGTTTTCTTCGATACCATTTTGTTTTTCATCACTGGTGAATTTAAAAGTTCATTCCTTGATCATCTGATTGAATTTTCTAGGAAACCCAAGTGATGGAAAAGAGTGAAGGCTTCCTGAGATTGATATTTTCTTGGTCTCTTGATGATATACTCAATAATGATCTTTATAAAGACAAGGTCAGGTTACTCATGCCCAACCCCCATTCATTCCCCCTTGAAAACACTACTACTAGTTTTATTTTGTACTATAAAATTCTCACTTTAAAACTTCCAAGTTCGAATTTGGTTCAATGTATGTGTGTTTTGTTTTTACAATGTTTACTGTCCAATTAGGCTAGTAGGCTTACAACAACTTGCTAACTGCTGTCCATTGTTGTAGAGTTTCTTTTGGTCTTTACATTGTTCCTTAGTGTTGGTGTAATTCAGTTTGCCCTCTTTGCATTGTTCCCAAGTGTTGTGTTATTCAGTTTGCTTGACAACATAGGCATTTTTTTTGTTTGGTTACTCTTTTGGTTCATGTAGTTTCATGATCTTTACCTTTTAGTCCCTATAATTAAAATTATTTCCATTTTAGTCTGTTTATATACTATTTTTTGTTTCTTTTTAGTCCCTATAGTTGCATAAATTTTATCTTCTAGTCTCTATAAAAATAGACTAAAATGGAACAAAAATGATATGCATATGAACTAAAATGAGGCATTTTTAATTATATGGACTAAAAGGTAAAATTTATGAAACTACAAAGACCAAACGGATAATTAAACCCATTTTTTATATTGATGTTTTTATGGTGTAATGAATTGTGTAAAACAAACGATTTTCTACAGGTAGTTGTGCCACTGAGTACCGAGCATTTACACTTTGCTAAAAGTTTGTTGAATACTTCGTCTGTTCCACTACTGTTTAAGATTTTTACACGCAAATTAAAGATAATAATAAATGTATCACTTTTTGATGTAATTTTATTAAAATAACCCACTCTCTCAATAAATGTATTACATTTAATTGTGGTATTTGAATAATTTTTGAAGGGATAAATTAGGGAAAAAACAATTAATATTACATTGAAAAGTGAGAACATAATTTATTTTGAGATATTTTTCAAATACTAAAATTGTAGTCATTGTAGGATAGAGGAAGTGTTTGATTATACAGTCAACATTCATTTCATACCGGAAGTTCCTTGTTTTTTTGCATGTAATTGACTTCTAAATAAAACTACCATTTTTGTGTTTTTTTAATAGGTGAAGCAAATTCCGACGACATTCTTATCAGTACATTACTATCTAAACTCATTTATTTTACCACTCATTGAGGAAACTCGCACAGATTTATGCTCAAGCATGAGAATGGTGTCAGAAGCTCCAGCATGTGAAATAACAGACATAGCTTTTTCTGAAAATCACAACTCTCCACATGATTTGTTATACAAGATAGAAATGAATACAACAGCAGATAGTGATAGAAAAGGGGATATTTACGAGCCTGAGGTTGGACAGCTCGTTGCTTTGACTGGTAGGAGGCCAACAGGCTTTGACGATTTGAACAAGCCTGGAAATTCCTATATTATTGCTTTAATTAAGACGGTAAAGAAAAAAGACAATGAAGATGTTTATGATGCTCAAATACTAGCCTCAAAGCCCATTAAATTGGAAATGTACTTGCAAGAAGATGACAGATATATATACGGTATATATGGTTTTGCTGTCTATCTTATTAATGTGACAACAAATATGCGTATATGGAATACACTGAACTCTGATCCAGATGGTCCAGGCATCCATGTCATCAAGCAACTGCTCCAACCTGATTCTTCTGTAAGACAATTAGTTTATTCTGTCTTTTTATTTTATATATATATATATATATATATATATACCTTGCAATATCACAGTCCATGGTATGGCTGTACAACTGACTGACAGATGAAGCTAGATTATTTGTAATTGTATTATTCCCCATGCTTATACCATACCTTGTCAAGCTAACCTTATTGATTGGATAAATGTTTTAAGTACCTTATTGATTAGATAGATGTTTTAATTTGCAATTGTTGTTGCATCTTCTGACAGGTTGGAGAAAACTGTGCTCAATGTTTCTCTGGTGAAAGGTACACTATTGATGTTTCAAATCTTGGTGCTGCTATTCGCTCATTTGATTTGAACGAAGCTCAAGAAGAAAGTGTTTTAAGTTGTTTAGCTGCAAGGGAATGCTGTCACAAAAGTACTGTAAAATTGATTTGGGGCCCTCCAGGGACAGGGAAAACAAAAACAGTTGGCTCATTACTATTTGCCCTCCTCAAACGAAAATGTAGAACACTTGCTTGTGCCCCAACTAATGTGGCCGTACTGGAAATGACATCTAGGTTTCTTAGGCTAGTGATGGATTCCATTGATTATCACACTTATGGTTTTGGAGACATAGTATTATTTGGCAACAGAAAGCGGATGAGTATTGACAATCGTGATGATCTTATTGATATCTTTCTTGATTACCGTGTAAATATACTTGCCAGGTGCTTTGCACCCTTGTCTGGTTGGAAACATCATTTAGAACTAGTGATATGGTTACTTGAAAACCCTGAAAAGCAGTATAATGAATATTTAGAGTGCGAGGAAAAAAAGGATTATGAGATAGATGATGACAATTTCTTGAAAGAAGAGAATGAACTACTTGCAATTTCAAATCAACAAACAAATCAAGAGAGAAAGAATGCGTCCAAGGATCCAAAAATTTGTAAGCAAAATGAGTGGATGAAAATAATTAATAAAACTTTAAGGGAAAACAGGTTGTGTTTTAAGGAGGGAAACAAAAGTAATGATAAGCAGGAGAAGAAGGATTTTCTTTTCCGTGAGAACAAAATAAAAATATTGACATTTCTCGAGTTTGTCAAGAAAAAATTGAATTATATCAGGAGGCAGATGAGAACATTTGCTGTGGATATGTGTACTCACTTGCCAACTTCTTTTATCTCATTAAGAGTGGTGAAAATTTTATTTGAATGTCTTGATTGTCTTAAAGTCCTTGCAACGGTGCTATCGGACAATTCCATTACTGATCAAGAATTTATACATGCCCTTGCTATATCTTATGTTGATGAAAGTAGTCTTAGTTGCTGTACTTGGCAGGCTAAGTTTTGTATGACCAGGAAAGAATGCCTTAAAATGCTTAAATCACTTCAAAATTTGTTGATTCTTCCTGATTTTTTTGATGAAAATTCAATCAGAAACTTTTGTCTCAGAAGATCTCGCATGATTTTTTGTACTGTTTCAAGCTCTGCTAGATTGCATGTAGTAGGACTTGATAGACTAGAAATGTTAGTTATAGATGAAGCCGCTCAACTCAAAGAATGTGAATCAAATATACCTTTACAACTTCCTGGTATTCGTCATGTTGTACTTATTGGAGACGAGAAACAGTTGCCAGCCCTAGTCAAAAGTGAGGTGTGTTCCAGTCTTGTTAATTCCTGACTTCCTGTCTATGCAAGCATGTTTGTTATTATGTTTCACATTTTTTGTTCTTTTATGAAAATCATGGAGAAAATATTTCAACATCTAGAAATTTGTGAATATGCAGATTTCTGGCAAAGCAGGATTCGGGAGAAGTTTGTTTGAAAGGCTGGTTCTTTTGGGTCATGAAAAACACCTTCTCAATGTTCAATATAGAATGCATCCATCCATTAGCTTGTTTCCAAATATGGAATTCTATGACAAACAGATTTTGGATTCTCCAAGTGTCAAAGGGAGGAGCTATGAGAAGCATTTTCTACATGGAGACATGTTTAAGTTCTACTCTTTCATAAATGTTGCTTATGGACAAGATGAATTTGGTGAAGGGAATAGCCGAAAAAATATGGTGGAAGTAGCTGTGGTATCTGAGATTGTTCTCAACCTTTATAAAGGTAATTTATAATGTGATCTAATATATGATTATAAGTAACTGACTGAACTATAAATGTATGGTACGAGTTTCTTTTTCCATATAATTTATGAATATCTTTTATCCTAATTGTGGGCTCGTTATTATAATCTATGAACTCTTTACAGAATCAGCTTCTAGAAAACAGACTGTTAGTGTCGGTGTTATATCACCATATAAAGCTCAAGTTGTTGCCATACAAGAGGCTCTTGGAAAAAGGTTTGGTGGTGATGTTGATAATGACTTTTCTGTGAAGGTTTCCACTGTTGATGGTTTCCAAGGTGGCGAAGAGGATGTGATAATAATATCCACTGTAAGATATAATAACATGGGATCTGTGGGATTTGTTTCTAATTTTCAAAGAACTAATGTTGCTTTAACAAGAGCAAGGTATGATATGTACCCGATATGGTTCACACTGTTTGCTCTACATATATTCTAATCATGGATGTACTTTTCCTTATCTGTACAGGTATTGCCTTTGGATAGTAGGTAATGGTGCAACTTTGATGAATAGTTGTTCCGTTTGGGAGAGACTCATCCTTGATGCTAAGGCTCGAAGCTGTTATTATAATGCTGATGCGGATGAGAGGTTATCTCATGTGATTACAACTGCCATGATTGAGCTTGGTCAAGTTGGTGATCTATTGAATTTGAATTCTATGCTCTTTAGGAAAGCAAGGTGGAAGGTATGATGCTTGAAATTGGTTTTTTCCTTTTTATTATTATTATTATTAAAACATGTCATAGTAATTTGTTATATCCCCCCAAAGCATACACATAACAAGGGATAGAGAGAATTTCCAACTAAAACCCAAATATTTCTCACATTATAAAAGCATGACAGATCAATGTTTTATCTCATGCACAAAATTGCACTAAAATTAAAATTCTCTCCTTAGGAGAAGGTATTGATGAATTTTAGCTGCTATTTAACCCTTACAAAAGATGCAGTAGATGAAACCAAGTCTTCTGACAATTCTTAAATAGCTTAACCATTTTCATGTATTCTTAATCTTTCCTGTGACAATCTATCTTTATTATAGGTATGCTTCAATCAAAGTTTTCTGATCTCTATGGCAAGAATTAAGAGCATTGAGATTTGCAAGAAAATATGTTCTATGCTGGTGCAACTTTCAAGTGGTTGGCGTCAGCCTCACCGGGAGATAAATATTGGATTTGTGGATGATACTTCTACCCAACTGTTGGAGCTGTATAAGGTCAATGAGTCACTTTATCTTGCATGGACCATAGATGTTCTTGAGGAGAACTCAAATTATGTTCAAGTTTTAAAGATTTGGGATGTTTTGCCATTGTCTGAGGTATCTAATTTGGCAAGGGATATCAACATCTCATACAGGAGTTATTCTGTTGATATTCTTAGATGCTGCAAAATCAGATGTTCTGAAGGGTATAAATCTAATATTAATTATATGATTTGCTTCACATAGTTAAGAATTGTGGAAATTTTATTTCAAATGAAAGTGCTAACATAGTCGGTTACTGCAGGAAATTTGACATTCCAATGACATGGTTTTCTAATATGAATCATGTAACCAGTTATAATCTTCCACAAGCTGATCCCATGCAGTTTCTGTGCAACCAATTTGCTTTGCTTAGACTGAGGGACGGTTAAATTAGAATTGATAGTATATTACTCTCACCTCCCTTGAATTTTGTTTCTGTTGCACAAACCTCTCTCCTCTGTTTTGAAAATATATGTACATATCAGTTTCAACCAGTCAGAAGTTTTTGGTAAGTTTTTCTTTTTTGCTCATTTGGGACCTCAATGTCATGGCCATGCCCTATTTTAGATTTTATTTTTTGTTGTGGTAATTCTAAATTCTAAAGTAGGCCCTTCCTTTTGCTAATGTAAATGAGATATTGATCTTGGTTTCTCAATTCTCACTTGGTATGTCCATCTTAAAAACTTAATAAGAAATCAGCATTAGGGTCTCTTACACTTTCCAAAGTAAGAATAATTTGTTTCTGAGCTTTCATTTCCAATTTGGTCTCTTCACGAGCTTTCTCATGGTTTATTTCATTTTCGTTTTCTTCCTTTATTGATGCTGAGGCAAATGATGATTCTTTCTTTTTCATTTTTCAGAAACTTGGATTTTGGAATACCATACCTTGCAGCTTTGGTTTGGAGAGAAATACTGAATTTTAAGTTTAGGAAAACGTATGCTTTAACCTCAAGGTCAATAGCAATTGTGTATACGTATAGAAGAGTATACATACCCTCTATGCATACAACCATATGTTTAGTAAAAGATAATGCCTTTTTTGCGTTTGCCTTGGCTATATTTCTGATATGACAAGGAAGAAGCAGTATGGTGCGTGAAACCTGTATTTGCTTTGGTGCTTTTGGGGTATCTTCTCAGTATCATATCTTATGCAAATTTAGTTCCTTCTTTCCACCCCCACTTTTCTGAAATTGTCAGCAGTTACACTCATGAAGACGAGTAATATTTTTCTACAAGGATTTGACTTGAAGTTTTACTTTAAAGAGTAAAGTATAAAACTTCTAACATTGATCAAAAGATTAACAGTTGATATTACATTGACATGCCCAACAAACCATACATTTGTTAAAATCTATCCTCGTAATTTTCTCAAGAGGAGGAAAAAATGTTAGAGATTGACTCTATTCTTCATTAGACAAATCCTTTCTATAAATATTGTTAACTCTATTTTTTATACATTCACTTATAATTAACATTAAATACAATAATCACATAAAATAATAGATATTTTTGGAGCAAAATTAAAATTTATGATAGAATTAATTAAAAAATAATTTAATTATTTTTCTTAGTCTCAATAATTTATTCTATGTTGCTTATAATTAAAATTAGAAGTAGTATTATTTAACACTACTGCCTTCAGATTTTCATTGTTCTTTAATCTAAGTATCTTTTTTTACTTTCCTTTTTTATATTTTGATCTGTGGTGAAAAAAGATTAATTTCTTCATTTTTATTCAAATTATTTACAATTTCTTAATATGTTTTTTATCCCTCTCGTTTATTGTTTAGATTTTTGTATTTTACATACAATTGTTTCTCCCTCTTCCTTTATAAGAGTACAATTAAAAAAATTGTAATTATTAATATCATCTTAAAATTTTCAAAAGATAGATAAACAAAAATATTTTTCTTCAAATATATTCGATAGAAAGAAACGAAAGTAATAATAATAGTGATACTTTCAAGAAGAAAAAAAGAAGAAGAAGAAGTAATGTTATGTTAGCTAAACACGCAAACATTTATTCAGCCATAGTTAATACTTAAAAGTAGGTTTATTATATGCCTATATGGATGTGTTTTGTTACCTATTTAAAAGCATTGAAATATGTGTTTTTGAAAAAAAAAAATTAAAATGCCAAAACAACAAGACTATTATTTTAAAATAAAAGTGAGTTAAATTAAACTCAACTTTTATTCAAACACACTCTACATAATTTACCACATTCAAATTTGGTCCTTACCTGCCCCATCATGAAAATGAAAATTGACCAAAGAATAACCAAAAGTCACCCTATAGTCTTCCCTAAATTAAGCCATTCTTTGTTCATAAATCAGGGTTTATTTTTCCACTTCAATCATATTTTTCTTAAAATGTTTATTTTATAAATACCATTAATCAAGTTATTCTTCTTTTAATTTGTGGAGAATGTTAGTTAGTACCTTAATTAAAATTAGGAAATATATTAAGTGTTATCAGCGTGCATACTTTACCATAATTATCAATGCAATTACACCTATAGTTTGACATTTTTTTTTTAAACTTTAATCGGTCATATACTCTCATTTGAGGGGGGAAAATATGATTTTTGAAAAATTTCAATGATTTTAAATATTTAAGTATTTGTTATGGGTCTTATGTAATTTGATATCAATAACTTGGTTATTTATTACTATTTTTTTTATTGCGGTTACTTGTTAACGATATAATAAATCTGTTGTATAAAATACTTATCTAATTTTTCTTTGTTTTATCTAATTACTTATCTAAAGAGATATTACAAATTTTTCTGTTCTTAAAGTCACACTGATGTGGAAAAAAAAAGTCATACTAAAAACTATTTCTGATTTAATTTATTGATGGTATAATTTATTTTCTATATTAATAGTACAAATGATGATTAAACTGATTATTTATATTTAGCTCTTAATTTTCTCAATTTTACAGGAGCTTATACATTAAGTAACATAGTAGAAGTCCTTATCAAATAACATTTTTTGATATCAATAATTTGGTTATCTTTTACTAACTTTTTGATTAGCAATTCTTAATATTTTTCTTCAAAAGTGAACAAACTAGTACAACATTGAATGTGCTAGAAAAATTCAACTAAGTTAGGCAAAAATATAATAATTTATGAATATATCATCTCAAACAAAGTCTTAAATTTTGAATTTTGTGGATGAAAAAAAATGTAATTAAAAGAGAAAATCTCCCATTTTTAAAATGAACTGTTAAATTTCTTAAAAAATATAAGTTATTATCGAGTTAATGCATATTTCGTACCAATAATATAATTATAAAGTATAATAATTTAAGTCTTCTTCATATCCTTGAGGTTGCTTCATTTCACATTCCACAAAAATTGGTATGCAAGTAACCAATGGGGCCATAAAGTAAAACCGAGTAGCCGACCTCTTTTACATGCTCCAATGGAATGACTTGTAGTTGACCTGGCGTCAATGCCATTTGTTTCATAGTCACTCACTTTTGGTTTTCCTTAGGTTGTGACGTAACATGTATGCATACGTGAAGTTGCTTTTGATGACCACAAACAAAGGTCCATTAACCATGAGAATCTCCTTTTCCCATTTGATGACCACAACTGTGACTGTGGTTTACCTTGCTAGAGAAGTTTTCTGCAAACTATTTATTTCCTTTAGGTGTAAGGGATTCTTTATATCTCGTGTCGTTTGTTTTGCGTTGCATATGATATTATATGATATCATTCTTCTAGAGATTACCTTGTTGAGAAAGAAGTGGTTAGGAGAAAGAAAATGGAGAGAAGTTATAGCGCCAAAGAGGAAGGTCTTGATTTGGTAGAGAGAGTATTTTCTTGGACTATCAAGGATGTTCTCAACGACAACCTCTGCAAAGACAAGGTTGTTCCCCCCCATTAAAAGATGTCAGAAACTCATCAAACCATTTTTTCGTTATTTTGATTTTGCTGCTTTGGTTAAATACAATGGATGGAAAAACATGAAATTTGTTTTTCATTTGATCCCCCCGTACCTTATATTTTCTTACACCTTAGTTGTCCTTTGTTTTTCCAATTTAAAATAGATAATTTATATTAGAACCTTAGCACTCTTAGCAAGCCATGTGCTAAATAAATCATATATTTTATCTCCTGGACTTTTTTATATTAACTTGATCGTTTTATGTCCTTAATGCTTTCTGCTTTTTCTTAAGGTCCCATTTTTTTTAATGAATTTTTAATTACATCTAAATTAAAAAAAAAATTATAATCTAGTTTTCCTATAAATTTTGTTATTAGAACCGATAGAAAAATAACAATTTGTGAAGGTTTTACTAATTTCAGAGACCCAGTTACAAAAATTATAGAAAATCAAGTATTCAATCACAAATTTTTAGTTTAACAACTTAATTAAGAATTCTAAAAAATTCAAGGACCTACAGAGATACTAATGTTTTTATATGGTTTGGCATATGTGCTACTAACTTTATGTGCATAAAATATCAGGAATGTTTTTATCATCTATTAGGAGAATCCACATGCCTTAACATATTAGCAAGTTATGGTATCCCCCTAAAGATAATAATCAAAATATGCAAAGCATGAAGCATTGTTTTATCTCAGGTACAGAAGATCCCAGATACATTCTTGTCAACAACAGATTACTTGAACTGCTTCATTCCTCCACTGATTGAGGAGACTCACAGCGACCTTTCTTCAAGCTTGAAAGGCGTGTCACGGGCTCCCTTTTGTGAAATCTCGAGCGTTGAACTTGAAAGGTCAAGAAGCTCCATACCTACCAAGAACTTGTTCTACCAGATTTCAGTGAAGAGAACCAACAATGATGCGAATGGAAAATATGAGCCTGAGGTTGGAGATCTCATTGCCTTCACAGATATCAAACCGAAAACGGTAGATGACTTGGACAGGCCCAAAAGAGAGTACCATATTGGTTATGTTCATGCAATAAAAGAAAGTACTGACAAGATCTCAATACTTTCATCCAAAAGCTTTAACATGGACATTCAGTTTGCCTTGAGGAGCAACAATGCACCAAGCCTTTTTGCCTTGAGGAGAGACAATGCACCAAAGCTTTATGCCTTCTATCTTTTGAACCTAACAACAAATGTTCGAATTTGGAAAGCCTTGAACTTTCAGCTGGAGGGTGCAAGCATGACCATGATTAAGAAAGTGCATCAAGCTGATTCAAATGTAAGAACCAAGTCAATTCATAACGAGATTTTTTATTACTTGATAACATACTACTTGAGCATTTTTACTTATTTATGTTGCATTGGGAATGGATACTAATTTTTAAATGTTCACACTAATTTTTAAATGTCCGTGCATTTGTGGCACAAATTACATATTAGTCTAAATTCATGTTTAGAATGATTTTAAAGAAATTTTCTATTAGAAATAAAGAGTTTTTTTTTTTAATAAATACACTCTAAAAAACTCTTCTAAATTTATTTCCAAAACATGTTCATAGTAGGATTCTCTACGCAGTTATCAAGGAACATGTTTGCCTTAATAACTAATGACAGGCATGTACTATTAGTGCAAGTGTTTTAGGCATCAACCAATCAAAAAATCATCCTTGATATTATTTTTAAAGCAGTTATAATTAAAGTAAAGAAACTTACCATACATGACAAACTCAATTTGTGATCAGATGATAATGTAAAAAAACCTTTTAACTCTCTCTCTCACTCACTCTCTCTCTCTCTCTCTCTCTCTCTATATATATATATATATATATATATATATATATATTTATATATTATTTA